AGTAGTAGTAGCAGTAGAAGTAGTAATAGTAATAGTAGCAGGAGTAGTAGTGGTAGTAGTGGAGGAGGAGCAGCAGCAGAAGTAGTAGAAGTTAGTAGCAGCCGTGGCAGTGGTAGTGGGACCGGGAGTACTGTAGTTACACTGTAGTTACAACGTGCAACCGCTTTGCCACCTGTGCTGTCTTTACCACTAGCACGATCAGCTTTAGCCAGCTTTCCCGCAACTACCGCGACGGCCTGCTCTTGCTATTCAACCATTGTGCTTGCGATTTGATGACAAGCCGCAGCTCCCAGAACCATCGCAGGTGGGGGCGGCAAAGGCGACACGGTCCCCCACTGTGACCCAACCGGTACCACAGGAGTTGAGCTCCCTGACACCGAGGCCTCGGATCCACGCGTTTCCGGGTTCAGGATTTAGGATTTTCGGCTTCATCTGGGGTCTAAGGTTGAGTGTTTAGGGTTTGGGGGTACCAGATACCCCGCACCCTGCTGCCTTCCTAGACACGCACACACACACACACACATATCGAAGAGGTTCCAAGGATATCGCAAACACAACTATCAGCTGCCACGTGCAATTTATTCACTTCGACGGTGCAGCCGGGGGGTTACTTCGACTACCCATGATGGGAGAACTAAAGGCATCCAGCAAACAGGATACTTCCCGTGCGATAGCTCCAAACCGGGAGGGGCACAAAGAGCAACGACAACAGATCTGTTTTGAAATTCATGCCGTCTTTCTCGAGCACGCGCGATGTGTGATGCTTTAGCTCCAAGAACCCATCCAAGCACTCTCGCACTGTGCCTTGTGGTCATGTCGTGTCATGGAACTCTCTCCACATGGACACCTCAGTTGCGAGCTCTTGGCGCCGCTGGCGACGCAATGCTATACCTCTCCAAGGACATGCATCGGCTTTTGGAGATCTGGGACTACACAACACCAGCCATTAGCCGGCAAAACGGCGGCTCCAGAATGAACAACCGAAAAGGAGCGTGAGGTCTGACGAAAAACAAACTCGTCGTTGAATCATCTTTCAACCCTCTAAACTCCCGTGCATCAGCACCTGGCCGGTACAGTTGGGGTGGATGCCCGTGGGTGCATCACTGCAGGCCTGAGTTAATGGCCACTCTTCTCCGCTGCAGTATGCTGCAGAAGGACTGCTGAGGATCAGGCAGCACGCAAGACGCTCCTCCCGCAACCTTCGCTTGAGCTGGTCAGAGGGAAATATGTGTGGATCCAATGTGTAATCCACATGGGAGGTTTCGAAAATTAGGGGTACCTTATTTTGGGGTTCTTATATAAGGATCCTACTATTTAGGGTACTATATCAGGGTCCCCTATTTTTTCGGAAACCACCACATGCCTGCACTGAAGGCATCGCAGGTGCGTAGGACGAAATGCGTGTGGATGCATACCTGACACCCACGATGGATTCTTTGTCTCCACGCTAAACAGCAACACACAAATTGGTTCACCAGTCTCTGAGAGCTGCACCCATTCGAGGAAATCCCGTTTGAGATCGCGGAGAGAGTGGCAGCAGGAGCGTCCTAACGGCTCTCGGTTAGGATTGAGAATTGAGCTACCTACGACATTGGCCCTTTCGAAAAGCTTCTGAGCTCCGTCGATGAACCAGCCGGAACAGACATAGAAACAGGCGCCATACACCTTGGAAAGGCTTTCTTGTGACGCTGCAAAGCTGCTCTGCACCAAGACGCCAAGAGTAAGGCTGATTGGCTACGGTTGTCGGCTCCATCCACGTGGCCTTGGACATTCCAGGTGACACGTAGCCAACAAAAGTCCTGCAAGAGATGTTTAGGCATCTAGCCTGACCAGACACCAATCTTGCCACACCTCTGCAACGATGGGACAGAAATCCTCTCGCTTCAAATGCAACACACTGTTGTGATGGTAACAGAGCGACAGCCTGCGCCACAGCACTCGCACAAACACGACTGATAACCGTCCTTATTGGGCTTGTGAGTTCGTATTGCCTCCCTTACAAAGAGTCACGAGTGCCGGCAAATGTGGCTACCACTTACAAAACGAGACTTCAACTTGCCTTGACATTCCAGCCCCTCTCCCCTGTATTTCGATTTTTGTGCCCCGGCCGATGCATGGGAAGGCTCCACTAGCAGCCACAGCAAGAAAGATGAAGGCATTTCCTCTCTACCTCTTGCCCCATGCGTGCACAACCCATGCAAGCAAAAGAGCCGCACCAGAGGTGTCGTAGGCAGATGGGGACAGCTTCGTGGCAAGGACCTGAATTCGAGTGACTATGTCAGCAATGCTGCCAATGCCAGCTGCTCAAAATTCGGTTCCAGCTGCACTTGGGTGCTGCCTATCCCATCCAATCGTTTTGTAGAGTTCAACATTCTGCGAAAGTCTTGGCAAGCCGCCCTTGGAGGCACAGCAGTGGCAGCGCCTCAGCTTGGAGTAGGTACTACGAAATCAAGATTCCAAGTAAAGTAGCACAACGCTCTCCACATCAACAACGCAAAATCTTCAGCAAGTCACGACGTTGCATAATGTGGCGTCCTACAAATCGCTTGCGAACAGAACACAGGTGCCGAGGACATGAACCTGGGCTTGATACCGGACCAACCATATACTGCACCTTCATCTGCGTATGCCTGGGCTCATTTAAACTACGACTAGAACAAGAATCACAGAGGGCTCCGGACGGCAGGGAGCGGGCTTACCGTGCCTAACACTTCTGAAGCTAGCTGTTGCAACTCCCGTGACACATCGCAGGACCTGATGTGGAGCAGTAGGCCGGAGTGGGCTCCGATGTGTAGACCTCTCAGGAGTCGCGCGCGCATGCGTGGGCATGCAGGTGGTGTCGATGAGAATGCGAAGTACGTGCCCACCGTAACTCCAGGAGGAAACGGACTTGCTGCACCTTGCAAGCGAAGCAACATTGAAGAGTGGGATGTGGAGATTTGTGGTATCAGTACGACTATAGGGCCAAGACCAGATCCGTACGTGAAGCCATCCCCTGCATAAACCTCGCGGCAGCACCAACACACCGGAATGCTGGCGATAGCGCACCCTGCCTCTGGCATGGGGCTCGCAGCACCTGTCTTCTCAGTGAGCATTGTCAGCACATCACACCGCGCATTCACACCGAGGTCCATGCTCACGTAAGCAGGGCTTGCTTCAGCCTGCAACTCAGAAGCACGCCAAGCCTGCACATCACGCGGATCCCGCAACCTGAGTCATGTCGCGCTTCTGGCCACAGTGGCGGCAGAAGACCGCATCAGGCATGTAGACCTGAAGACTGCGTCACTTGTCAGAACTATCTGCGATCGTATGGCGAGAGCCGTACCCATCCGCAGCTGGCACAGACGTCCGGCTGCGCTGGACATGCCAGACTGCTTGGTTGGGCTGGAGTGCTCGCACCAGACGGCGGCAGAATCCTGCATCGTAGAGGTAACGTTGCTGACGGGCTTCGCTGAGCGTTATCAGTAAAATGTCAGAACAAGCATCTCATGCGCATGCCCTGAAACATTACTTCCGTATCGCCATCACATGGGGACAACTCGCTGCAATCTGTCAGGCAAACTCGTTCCGGCATCAACATGAAGTATGTATGCGCATGGGTATGCCCGCATGCATGTATGTAGACACCGAAGCTTCCCCACAAGGGCAGTCACTGACGAAAGAGTGCCGGCTTCCCCCTTCTTTGTTGTCTCCTGGGGGCGAAGTGGCTGGCGTGCTGCGGCGTGGTGCTCCCGGAAGACACCGAGCCTCGGACATGAAAACACCCTCCAAAAGCTCCCAAAATGACCATCTTCGAGCTGCGGGCCCGGTCGCCTTAAGACCGGCAGCGAAGCGAAGCCTTCGAAGGTGTGTCAAGGTTGGCCCCACACGCTCCAAAGGCCGCAGGGCGCGCGCGCCTGGACCCAGGACCTGACTGCAAGGTGCAACTCACAACCGTCAGCTCTTCCTCAGAGGACTGGCTTTTCGTCTGCCTTCTCACATACGCTTTTTTCGCTGTGGTCTGTATAGGACAGCTGGCTCCGTGACCCACCTGCGCTTGTGGCGTCAGCGACCGCAAAGGGACCACCTGCCAAGGTCTTCTGGGTACGGGATGAAAGTCCTCCGAGGTCTCATCAGCCGGCACCACCGTAGCCATGTGCCGCGTGCCCTCAGAGATTTCACTCTGGCAAACAGTACCAAACAGACATCGGAAAGCTTGGCCGGTGCCAGGCACCTGCTGCGACGCATCCAGGCCCCGGGATGTGTGTCTTGGCTCTGGTGGTGCTTGTACGGGCTCGGTGTCCACCCTCTACAACTTAGTGCAGTGCTGCCCGGTAGAGTCTGCGGGCAGGTTGTGAGGGAGTGTTTCTGCGATCGTGGTTACTGGCAGCTTGCATTTGCTACTGGCTGCCAGCTGGCTTGGTCGAGATGCGCTTCGCCCTGGTGACGCATGTCCCATGCGCTTCTTGGCTCGAACAGGACCTCGTAGAATCCCAAGGAAATTCATAGAGTCTCGTCTCCAAGCCCCACGCAGGGTGGAACACATCCACTTCAGTGCATTCTTTTCCTTGCACCGGATTTCCAGACACAGGGTGGTTGCTGAAGCTGCTTGTTTCTGTGAGCTGCAGCCTATTTGATGTAGCACATGTCGGGTTATGACGAGGACTACACACATTCTATTTCTACGAAAGTCACTGCTCTTGCCCAAGCCTTTCATCGAGAATTCGATACGGTATCTATTCACACGATCCCAGAAGAAGAAGAAGAAGATTCGGCAAATTCCATGTTATCCTACCTATAGGCTCGAACACCCTGAGCACTTACGTTGGCTCAAGGTGAGAGCTGGGACAGTAACGCGCCTTCCAGCGCCCTTGCTTGCCACCAGCACCTTCAGGGCTGATGCCCGGCTCTTCTTAAAGCGTCCTGCGCGGGCCCAGCCCTGCTTCCAACGCATTCCGATGCAGAAGCCCCCCCCGTGACGGGCTTGGCATCAATGCATTACAGTCTTGCAGTCTTGAAACGCCAGGTGAAGGGGCTTTGCCGCAGCGTGCTACCTTTAGCAGGTCGCCTGATAAGCTTTTTGCACTGGTTGACACTTACTACGCTCGTCTATGCTCGTCTGGTCCGCTAGGCCTTAGAGAACACACAGCCGGTTTGACCAGCAATAGGCGAAAGCTAGAATCGAAACTCAAACTGAGGGTGAAACCGAAGCGGCGCGAGGTGCGGAGATGGAACGGCTGCGCCGCGTGACTTTCCCGACAACTTTAGCATTATGGGAGTGACTCTGAAGCAGTTCACCTGCAAAGGAATAGTACCGGTACTGGCGGCTTCTCAGCTAGTTGGTGTGTTGCTGTTCCTTCGCAAGTGAGCAAAACGATCCAGACCATTCGTGCGTCTCAGGTGGAGCAACTTCACAGTGCCTGCCGACAAGCCCATGACCCGCCCCGCCTTACCCATTGTTCAACCGAATCACAGATCCAACTCAAGAGGCAATGAGAACAAAAAGCTGTTCCGGCTTCAGCTTACGGCAGTCCCACTGCATCCTACTGCAGTCTGCTCAACTCCAACAACACCCAAGCCTCAGCCATCGTCTTCGTCGTCTTCCTCCTGCAAAGTGTCAACTTCATACCGCCAAGGCTGGCGTCGGCCAGACAGATCTCAGGACGCGACCATCAACTGCGCCGCTTTCCTGAAGACACTGCCTTCAGAGAGGCCATGGACATCCTGAAGTTCAGCGCAGGGAGTCTGGCTTGCACGACCCTGACCACCCATCCGGTAACGACGCACAAGAGCGGAGTTGCGTTCAACACACTGAACATTTGGCACTGTTCAGACTCCATCCCCCAAACCCTAAACTTGAACATCTCTCTTTCCAGCGCTCCACATCTTTCGGGTCCATTCTCGAAGCTTTGACCGCCAAGTGCTGAGCTGTCGTCTTCGCTCGTATGCCACAATGGATGCTGTCACTGACAAATTCAGTGTGTCGGCTGGTCCCGGAGAGGCTTCGATCTTTGGCTTCGCAAGGTTGGCAAGCTGGTGCCGAGATAGTGGAAAGTGTCGCATGGGTACAGTAGCCAGCATGTCTAGTCTTTTCTCAACTCCCTCAGCAAATGCCTCGCCATTTTCATCGTCCGACCCGAACACGAATGCCAGCCTGTTTTGTGTTAGGTCCAGGTCCCACAGATCCAACAGCGGCTTCTCCGTCGCATCCTTGGCCACCAAGCCCACAAGCTGGGTCCCCGTGCGTTTGAGCGCGGTCATGGCGCATGAAGGATTCACTTCGGCCGGAACTGGTACGACTGCGACTTCCCAGTGCCTCTTCTGCTCCACCATAGAAAAGCGAAATGCTTTGTCCAGCAAGGCACGTGAAGGTCCACCAACGATGCAGACGGCAGAGATGCCCAGCAACGTGCACGATCTCAAGATTGCTCCCAGATTACCAGCCGTTGATCCACAAAGCACGAACACGGAATCCATTTCGCCATCGCTGAGTCGACACAGAAAATCATGCCAGGAGAGGGTACAACGTTGGTGCAATGCCTCGCGCTTTGACATTCCCTCTCCGGACGTAGCCCTAACCTGCAAGTTGCGAGCATGCAACCTTGACACTCCAAAAGGCACAGGCACCGCAAACTGGACTGAAGATGCCGCGAGCGCCAGAACCGACCAAGGTCGCAGTCGATTCTGGCACCAGCCACGTTGAAGCATCGGGCAATGATAACCGTGGCGAACAACGCTCGCTAGCTGCTCGTCTCTGCAAGCATCCGCACGGGCTCAGGGAACCTAAGAGCACTGGCTTGAGATAGGAACGGCTTCAGGTTTGCTTTCAGCGAAGCATTCCAAAGCATCAGCACAGCAACGAACCTCGGGCGCCAGAGCTCTTATGAGCTCGACGTTGTGGTGAATCCTCTCGCGCACGGGAATGACAGTCTCAAGCGTGACTTCCGCCTCACGCCTTGCCTCGATAGTCGCCCTTCCCTGGGACCCACGACGCAGGCCTCGAAGCAGAGAGCAACGAACCGGAGGTCAATTAAGACGTAAACAGATGGAATGCCTTGAGATTGACCACCACCTCCGCAAACTCGCCGCCGGCGATTCTGACAAGAAGGCCTCCGGGACTGAAAGCTTATCTCAAAAGCATCTAGGACCCTAGGATCTAGAATCTAGGCTTCGTGAGAGTTGGCGCACCGTGGTAGAAGACACCGAGATCTTTGAGCTCTGCCTCTATCCTGGCAAGGAGGCTCGGGCAAGTCTACGGTCTAGCGATCCTTCCGTGGATTCCGTGGATTCGGCGCAGAACGGCCTAGAGGCCTAAGCAGGCCAGGCTCACCACAGCGCCGCCGGATGCTCAGGGCTACCTTCATCTTTGACCTGCAGAAAGAGGCTCTTTCCGTCCAGGCACCGTTCTTGCGCATGCCCGAGCTCGAAGCCAAAATGTCGATCCCTGCCGGGAGAGGCCCCACCACCTCAAGGCGGAAAGCAAGAAAGGACAACCTGCGCGCCTTTCCCTGCTATGGGGATGAAAACATATGTATGCGATCAACGTGCCTATGCAGCCATCAATCCGTGAATCTTTAAGCCCTAAATCGTTCGCATTTACCGTCGAGTGCTGCCTTTGCATCTAGAGCACCGCACCCGTCATGCAACGAAGGGGGACGAGTTGCAGGATGACGGCAGAGAGAACCGCGGCTGAAAGCGAGGGCCCCTTGGCCTCTACGAGTTGGCCATTGGAGGGCAGCTCGACCCACGATCGGTAGGCATACCTGAACACAACGAAGCTCCAGTGCTTTGGGGCTTCGGGATTGCGGGATTAAGATGGATTTAGGATTCAGGTGACCACTTTCAGCTGAATCAAAGACTAGCACGAACGGTACATGGGGAGCCAGGCACAAATGAAGAATGCGAACAGGACGTAAACAACAACAGCAAGGATGCTAGTGAGCGCAATGGCAAGTTCATCATGCCACTATAGTACTAGTAATCGTGTCAGCACGTGCGCCACTACGAGGACTAGTAGTACACAAAGATGCTTCAGCAGCAGAGGTAGCAGAGGCTCTCCTGACGTTGACTGCCCCTGTGAGCTACGACAGAAAGAGCAGCTATTGGGGTTCCGGGCCCCTGCAACAGGATGCCCATCTCCAGGGTCCTGACACCAGGCCTTCGACAGCTTGGGAGAGCTTTACAGTCTTTCTGGGCTTTGGGTCTCTGGGCTTCCGTTTAGGGCTCGAGGCCTAGAGAGAATGAGTATGGGAATTCTTTCATGTAAACACCGTCATCTCTCGACCGAACCGGGCTTCTTTTCCCGCGCGCTGCAGGCCTATCGACTTCCTCGTCGTCGTCATCTTCCTCGCCAATGTCGCCAATGGGAGGGGGCTCTGGTGCCTGCAGTCACAGGACCCAGACATGTGGAGCGACATCTCTGCATCACTGAGCAGCACTGAGCCTGCGGTATAGTAGAGGCCAGTTCCGAAGCATTCTGTCAGGGTGGTGCTGAATGGAAACGTTAGCAAGGCAACACTTTTGCTGTCCGGCCTGGTCAGCCCAGCTCAGCCGGCGGGCTGCGCAGGGAAGCATGTCGCGTTTGTTGCGCAGCACTCGCTTAGCATATCACAAAGTTGAAGTCCTGAAGACCTTGCCTGTGAGCGGTTGGCTCTCCATCGTGACCAGCCTGCAACACAAAAAGACTAAGGCTATCGAGAGGCGCGTCTGCTGGGCAGCCCGACCTCGACTGCCAGGTCAAGGTGCCACATGGTGGTTTGAGCCAGGACGGCAGAAGCAAGACGCCCTCGAGTCCAGCTCAGATGTTGCAAGCTCAGCACTAGATCCCCGAGAGGAAATGCTTCCTTCTTTGACCTCACTTCGCGGGGTCTTTGCCCGTGGCCAAAAGCCGGGCCAGCTCAGAGCCTGCAAGAAGAAGACACAGAAAGTTGCGACCGATGTTAACTTCGAAGAAGTCTTCCAAAGAGCTCGGGATTCAACGTTACGAAAGCTGAGAAAGAGCAGAGCTCTGAGAAGCTTGTGGCTCTCGCTATCTCAGAACACAAAGACTACAAGTGCGACAGCGAAAGCCACCGAGAGCCGAGAGCTGGGTCGCCGGCCCCATCGCTTTGGCGGCTGCCGCAGCTTGCTTAAACCGTGGGAGCTGCAGCTGGGCCTCGAGCTCGAGGATGGTCCAAGGATGTCCAAGGCTTCCGCTCCGACCGAAACTGCTGAGCGAGCGGCCATGACGAAGGCGGAGGGATTCCGCGCCTCGTGCACCGGCAGCTCGGCTGCCACGGCCTAGCTGGTGCGGGCGGGACATCGAACCCGACCATTCGGCGCCAGGGCTGAGGGCTGCGAAGCCGCGCCTGGAGCTGGAGAGGAAGCTGGCGGAGTTGCTGCGCGCACTGCGCATCCAGGCCGAAGCGGAGGATCAGTGCCTCAACGCCCGGGTGCACCTGCGTTGTCTCGACGCCCCAAAAAAGATGAAGCCTCACTCTGAACTCTTACAGATTCCAACTCCGTTGACCTGCTGTCCGTTCGGTAACGTCACGGACACGATGGGCAGGGTTGGCATCGCGTGTGCCGTTGACATCATGATGTCGCCTCAGCAAAAAGAAAGCTTTGCCGGGTCGCTGGGAAGTGCCTAATAAGGGTCCAGCGAACACGAGAGATTAGCACTGCAGACCTCCAGGCAGCTCTGTGATGCGGCTCTGCTTGACGACCTTCTGCCACGGTCTGCACTCAGAGGCACTGGCGGGTCACGCGCTCCCATCAGCGAACCCCGCTCCAGAACCGACCGCTGCAGAGCACGCCTTGGTGCCGCTGCTAGGCCATGTCCTTGCGGATCAAAGCACGTCCCAGGTCTGCGACGGAAGGGATCGGAGCTTGGCGGCGGCATGCGGCTCCACCTGAGCATGTCACAGAGGTGAGACAGCCCGCTTTCTTTGAGGTGGTATTGCGGCTTTGCTGAGTGGCGCTGTTGAGCGACAGGAAGTGCTCTACTTCCGGATTTGGCGGACTCGGCTCGATGCGGGCCTGCAAGAGCTTGATTCAAAGAACTTCTTTTGAGTCCAAAAATGATGCGACAAAGTCCCGTCCTGGTAAGCAGCAGCAGCCAAGAGCGATGTCGCGCTCGTAGCAGTCACGGGCAAGGCAGAAGCTTGCCCAGCAGGGAGAGACCTTTGCTCTTCTAGTGCTTCAAGCGATCTCCACTCTCTGCATGTTCCAAGCGTACGTGTTTTCTCAGTTGGAGTTCAAAACCTACCGGCACGGCTCCGACGCAAGCAAATGTGAGCGGCCGAGGCGCGTTGACTTTGGAGCGGCTGCCTTGTCAAAAGCATGGCTCCTGGACCAGGGCTTCGGCTTCGGAGCTTGGCAGCTCGTCCACCCGAGCGAACTCGAAGCACCACCGCTCCTCTCGAGCTGTCTCCTCGGCTTCTCGCGGTCCTGACCACCGAATTCGCAAGTCTTTCATCATCTCGAACCATCTCGGCTGTAGGGCTCGGGCTCGTGAAGGCTCACGCGACTTATCCTTGTGCCGATCACGATCTTTCCTCTCCTCGAGGCACAGCACACCAGCCACCACTAGCCAAATGCCAGAGGATAGCCTTGTCCCGATCCCTTTCTCTGCTCCTGGCACAAGGCAATCGTAAAGGCCCAGAAGGACACCCAAGGTCCATACCGCTCCTTTCGGCTTCTCGCTCTTCCCGCATGCGCTCCCGAGCTTTCTGTCCTGGGCTCCGACTGCATCCGCCGAGGCAAAGCCGAGGCCCAAAAGCCGAGGAGCTCTCTCGCGCCCGCCACTCCTCTCTGTCTCGGTCGGCCTCCAGCCGGTCCCGCTGCCTCTCCAAACCCACAAAGCCAGTGCCACAGCTGCCGAGCGACTCGGCCGCCCCGGCCTGTCCCTTGCCTTTTCCCGATCGCGCTCGGCATCCCTGCCGTAAGGGACAACTTTGCTCAAATTCGATCTAGCTTCGAAGTCGGATGGCTCCCACAGAGCCCTTCCGAATATGATGCGAACTGACTGATGTGGAAATCCTTGTTGTCATTGCTGTCGCACCCCCAATCCTTGTCCCCAGACATGCAATGAAAGTATCAGCAGCGATGCCAGCCCTGTCAGCCAGTTCTGCAAGGCACTACATCATGATACGCCGAGCAGACGCGAGCCATGGAACGAAGCACCTGGTGACCATTTGGGAACCGGCATGACGAATACTTCTGGGAGACACAGTTGAAACATCTACAACACCCACTCCGACGGGTTCTGGGCGGCTACGCCCCATGCTTCGGCGTGAGCCTCTCCCGTCGTTCCTTCACCTCAGCCCAAAATGAAGATGCAATGTCAGCTCGCCCCGTCCACCGTTAGTGCAGTCGAGGCACTCGCTTCTCCCGCTCTTTCGGGTGTTCGGTAACGGGCTCCTTTTCCTGGACAGCCTGCTTCTCCTTTTGCTGTCCTTTCTCCTTCGCCTTTGCACTCTCCTTTGGTTCCTTGTCGATGTGTTTGGCCTTCTTTGCCCGTGCCTTTTGCTTCTCTTTCGTTTCCTGGGCCGCAGGGCGGTGCAGCTGCTCATCGCTAGGATGTTCACGGCCTCTCTTGATCGCGATCTCGGCAACGAATGCGAGGTGTCCTGCCAGCAAAACGCTGAAGCGTGTACACAGTTGGCAGTTCTACATATCACTCGACGGAACTACGTAACCTTCCGGCACCGGGTAGCCACGTGCAGCAACTGGGAATGCAACTTGAACTAGCAGGCTCTCCGTCCTGGTCACTGCGTCTAGCAGTCTTTACATCCCTTCTCCTACGCAGTGGTCGTGGGGTCTGAGCACGGGAAATTGAGCGCACTCATCGGCGAAGCCTGCTAAACTCTATCTGTCAATACCTCAACAGCATTCACCCGAGTGCTGCCAGTACCGAACATGCAAGCTTACCAGTCCCCGGATCCCGCTATCAGACAGACCCTTCTCGCATGCGCTTCTAGGGGGCTGTGCCACTGCAGATAAGAAGGTCTATGCGGCCTGGAAGTTTCAGCTTTGGAATCTTCCGGCCTGGCAAAGAGGACAAGCTGGCGAAATCCATTTCCAACTCATGTTTCCTAGGTATGGCCTGAACTCGAGGGACGGACCACCGGCTCACTTTGGAGCGGGGTTGACTTTGTTCACAAGCCTCTGAAACACGAGTCGGTGACACACATCATCAGCATCTTCCTCCGGCTCATCCGACGTACCTGGCAGGACGTGTTCAGCTGCAAAGTCGGCATCCAGCAAACTCGGCATCCAGCAAACTGCCATCTGACCTGTCGCTGGGAAGGGGTTGGCTTCCTGCAGATGCAGCACGCGAAGAGTAGGAGCACATCAATGATCGATGACAAGACGCACTGCCGCGCCATCTTCAGAATCTTCCAGCGAAGCTCACTTCCGTCTGTGCGGCGATGAACCACCAGTCGATCCTCCTCGAAAACCTGCGTGAAACGAAGACTTGCTGTGGATCACAAAGACATGATTTCTCCGGCATTTTCATCATCATAACACCATCACCGGAAAATCATAATCATCATCAGCACCACCACCACCACCACCACCACCACCACCGACCTCATTGGTCTGCTTCCTCCCGGCCTCGATCCGTCCGCCAGTTCCCGTCGCTGGATCATAGAAGCAGGAGCCGGCTGCCTCCGAAGGTCATGATGCGACAGCGGCAGCATGCCCCCAGGGCACGTTACGCCCGACTATCACAGAAACGAAACCACATCGCATCGATGGCATCGTGCCTCCGGAGCCCAGGCTCTGCACAGAACCTGAAAAAAGGTACAGTCGGCTCTCGTCTCCAAAGAGCTGGGAGGGTCACCGTGAGAGCACCCGAGGTCTCCTCGACCTGGCAAGTCTCCAGGCCGTCCGGGGCCATGGGGGACTTTACAGCAGGAGCAGCTGCCTTTCCCGCCACAGCGTCGCAAAGAGACCGTCTCTCCAAGGGAGCCGTTCGACCTAAAAACTCACATAAATATACATCAAATATTCGTATAACAGTTTTTTCTTGAAGCACCTCTAATGTCGAAGCATCTGTCTCAGGCTGCGACCGCAGAGGGACTCGAGAGCTACCTCCGACATGCAGAAAGAGGATCCCGAGCTTTTCCTCGTGATGAGCAGGCACAGAAAGAGCAACAGCAGCACTTGACATGGCTTCCAAACGGGGCCACATGCCTCGGAGCCACCACCATGACAAAGAGTCCTGCAGTTGGGCTCCCTGCATTGCACCGTGCACGAGACCAAAAAGCACATGGGCATCAAAGCGTTGTCGAGCGTTTCCTGCTGTGAAAATCCAATAGCCATGAAGGTCTGATGGACCCGCGGCCACGAGCTCCAGTGCGACCTTTGCCAGGGTGGACTTTCCGCACGGCTTTTGCCTCACTGCAAGGGCAACTAAGTGAGGGCCAGGCTGTGCAGTTGGCAGCACCTCAAGCTCGTTTTCTCAGACAGTTGTGGGAAGACTCTCCACTCCTCGCGGCTCCGATAGCGCTGCTAGGTCGAGTCGTGATCTCCGTGCAGCTGAGGCACGCTTCAGCGGCTCCTTTGCCGAGACCTTCAGGACTGCGCTTACATGCCCCAAAATCATGGGGCATCTCCAAATGCCCGTCGGTCTACCGAGCTTGCGGCCACACCGGAAGTGGCAACTTTGGCCCAGTGCAGGGCAGATGCCTGCGAAGAGGAAGGAGAGGGAACCAGGTCCCGTCAAGCGGTCAAGTCAACTCCGGCCATGCCTCACGGAGCCGCGGGGCCTAAGCCGACACCAAGCCGCCTTGACTTTAGATTCCACCTTCCATCCAAGAAACCTGGAGCCTTATCGTGACCTCCGGCTCCTCCTATCGCCAACTGCTTCTCAAGGAGGTCTCCACTGCGATGGCCAAACTTTCTCCTCCTCCTGCCCCCCCGTGGCTCGTTTGCCGGCGCTGCTGGCCTGACAACACTCTCGAGGATGACCCGGAGGCATTCTGGGACAGCTCATCACCCGTTTTGGAAATGAACGGTTTGCGGTTCGTGGCCTCGGCCCTGCCCCCTTCTGGGCTTGAGGACACCTGCCAGCATCGACTCAGAAGGGGAGCCGAAGCGGCGAGACGCTCCAGCAGGCCTCCGCAAAGACCATGTGGGAACTCGTCTGCACCTGTTCGACTTCTCTTTCAACCAACATCAACAAGCATGCTGAGCCGCTCTAGCCTCACCTGAAGCCGGACGTCTGCCCCCTGCGACTGGCTCAAATGCCATAAGAACCCCCCATCAAGGGCAAACAGGGCTCGGCCTCCAGCTTCAAGTCGCGGAGCGCCGGAGGCCGCCCTCCTTCCTCAACGCGACTCCAGACTCCACCTCCCTCCAAACCTGGAAGGCCCAGGCCCGATGACGTACTACTCTGGCGAAACGAAAGCAACGTTACCTGCCGGGGCGTCCATCATGTCAGCAGGGCCAACTCCATATCCCGCCTCGCACAGCTTCTGTCATCTTCTGTCTCTGACGCGGCTTTGCATCTTCGAACTGAGAGTGGGACGTCTACGAGAATGCTGGCAGCATGCCGCAGATCCTGGTGAAAGATCTGAAGAGTCTGCACCTTCAATCCACTGCCTGTCTCTAGCCAAGCACCGCTGGTAGCAGTCCTTGCAGCGCAAGAGAAGCTGTTCCAGCTTCGAGCCCTGAGCACAGAGTGACGGGAAAAACCGAGAAGCTGAAAGGGTTCACGGGGCGCACCCCTCGAGGGCAAGAGCCAATCTGCAGCGTTTCCAGCTTACGCTGCGCAAGGATGGAACCTTGGACGATTCAAGTCTGTGGCATCCGAATACTTCGCACGTGAACTGCATCACTCGTCATACCTAGCGGGACAGTAGATTACCCTGAGATGGTCGTCGACGAAGCAGCAGGTGAGCGACGGTCAGGAGTCAAGACTTTGCATAACCAAACTCCACTCATGTCTCTGCCAGACCAATTGGCTGACCCTCATTGGTGCTCCTGTGTTTGTTATCGAAATTGCAGCCAACTTCATCGGGTTCGCTCCGATTTAGCAAGGCTAAACTTTTCAACGACGTTTTGACAACCCACCCCCGGGCAAGTCTCTGTGCAGCATTGCGCGTGAACCAGCAGCAGCCCCTCTTCGCTACTCTACCAACTCACATGGGCGAAGCGATTGCAGTTCCTGTGCTCAACTTGCGGGAGGAAAAGTTAAAAAAAAAAAAAAAAAACTCCGAAATCGCCCTTGGCAAGACGCGTGCCGGCCAGCTCCAGTCTTTGGCCTCTCGTCCGACCGAAGGCGACCTCCAAAAGCAAGCGACATGTTTTGCTGGAGACGTGAACAATATGTGTCCGAGCCTGAGGACAGCCCAGGCTTCGGGATCTTTGCAGATGCCTCGCGATGTCACAGACTTCTCACAGGGACAGCATGCTCTGCAGGGGCCTGGACTGCCGTGGACATTCGCATGTCCGCAAGGCTCAAAAAGCAGTCGATCACCTGCGGCGAGCAGGCGGTGCGAGGCCCCACTCTGCAATCATCGAGGCATCTCAAGGCATGTCCAAAGAAACGAGCTGTGATGTTTTCCGTTCAAATCGGACTGAAGCTGAAGACGGCAGTTGCCCCAGGTCGACAGCAAGAGCGATGCTAATGCCTCACTCCCGTCGTGTTCCAATGGGAAGAGAACGCCAAAACACAGGAACCCATCCGGGTACCGTCTACTGAGCTTCCATCTGCATCGTTCCAGATGCAGGTATTACTACTGCACCAGGCAATATGCTGTGTCTCTGTACGGCTTCTTCTGTGACTGATGTTGCATTGTATATCTGATACAGAACGACCCTAGAATCGAAAGAGGTGCAAGAATCAAAACTTGGTGCTTTGCAGCTTACAGACGACTGTCCCGAGCTGGCCAAAACTGAGTCGCAACCTTGGTCTGGCAGATCAAGACAGGTGTGGACTCTTGGGTCTCTAGACTCTAGGGGACTCGAGCAGGATCTGAGGCCACTTCTTGAGTCTCTCAGCGAGGCAGACACAGCGGCAGCATGGAGGACAACACGCCCGCGCCTTGGCACCGTGAGTGAGTCGGGGTCCGGGTCCCCGGGGTCATTGCGACGTCTCTGACTTTGTCTGGGCTCCCCGGGCTCTTCATGTCGAAGGAGTGGTCCCCGTCGGGCAGGGTGTCGGGCCTGGCTCCCACACATACAACAAGGGGAGCCAAGGGGAGCCCAAGCAAAGTACCGAGGCCCCAGACGTGAAGGACACGTCCTTCGCCTTGCGCATGGTCTGTGCCAACAGCTGGCGGTAGGTGCCGGGCGTGGACCTTGGACATGAAACGAACATGCAAAAGGCCTTTTCTCCCTTCTGGGTCGCACCTGTTGCGATTGCCCCACACAGCGAACACCTTCATCTTGCCGGTCGTCGTCTGGCGCAAGGCCTGTCTACACCCAATGCATGCAGCTTTGACTCTTCCTTCACTAATTTCCGGGATCAGTTTGCCTGCATCTTCTCAGCCAGGAAGGACGGGAAGAGCACGATGGGGCCTTCGATGCCAGCATCTCTAAACTTGTCTCACATCTCCACATGCAAAGAGCACATACATACCTAGGGTTGCGGCTGAAGAGGACGGTGGCAGCCACCTCAACAACTGCTCCGATGCAAAGCTAAGCCAGCCAAAGACTCCTCCGCCGCGCCTGCTGTGCAAAGACGTTCAGAAGGGAGGCATAGAGGGCAATGCCGGCCCCCTTGCCAAAGCCGAGAATCACCACCTTGCCAAAGGGTCCCGAAACCACCGAAAATCAGCAGAAAAAACCAAACCCGTCCAGGCCCGGCCTTGTCCCAGCTAAGGCCAAACTCACCCAGCTTTGTCTCGATCGACTCTGCGAGACAGCGGCCCAAGAGCTCCACATCGTGGAGCAAATCCAAGTCCTGGCTATGAGCTTTTTTTTGCACGCGCTACGTCCGCTACCTCGCTGCTCTTGGGCCTGGTTCTCGAAGGCCTGCCGATCACGAAGGAAGAAGGAGCCGTCCACGACCTCTGGCAACTTCAAGGAGAAATCGGCGAAGGCCTGGCCGCGACGGGAAAGGACGGCGCTCGCTTCTCAAAAAAAAACACTCCGCTTGCTTTGTCTCTCGGCCTCAGCGGCGGGATGCTGAGCCCAAGCGAGAGAGACGAAGGCAGCGCTCCCAACTTGCGAGCAGACTTCCTCAAGGCGGGGCACAGAGTATAGCAGGCGCACAGCAGGGGCACGAGGTGGGGGGCCCAGAGTGTGTCTCAAAAGTGCAGCGCAGGAATGGCGGTCCCTGACGGCCGCCGCTTCGTTCTGGGAGTCATCGCCCAGCCAGACCACCAGTGCATTCGGGCTGTCCAGGTTACCACCTCGAAGCGCACGGGACCTGACCCAACTTTGTTTCGCTGGAGTCTGAGGCCCACACCCTCGTGCGCTGTTGGCAGAGGACCCTGTCTCACAGCATTTCTGCGAAGAAACATTCCTGAGGCAAAGACCAGGCCTCTGGGCTCATGGCAGCCACGCTCTGGTCCGTGAAGAGCAGGTTGAGCCAATCGGCTTTCAGCCTGTCGCGCTCTTCCTCCTCTTTCTTCTTGGCCGCCTCCTCCTCCTTAGGATTCATGAAGACGAATAAACCCAGAACTTTGTAGCAATGCGAGTGATGCGTGTAACAGTACCAGGACTTGTGATGGCAACAGCAGCAAATACAAATTAGACAAACTCTCCTGGCCTTGTGCTTGGCTTGCTTCTCCTTTTCGGCCCTCTGCTCCTGAGCAGACAATGCCAGCTCCTCCTGCAAAGTGGGGAAGACCAGCACCACCTGAACTGAAGAGGGAGCGAAAAGTTGGTGAAGCACGGGAGGATAAGAAATGATAAGAACTTCTTGTGGCCTGGCCTGGGTGTTGTCGCTGGCATCCGCGGCTCGGGAGAAGGCCTCGCTGCAAGCATCCTCACCGACCTTGTAAACGACGGTGTCCAGGACGAACTTGTTCGCCCGCACAAGCTTTGTGACCTCACAGTTTGGCACGGTCACACAGAGTCACAGTTGTGCAAAAAAACACGCCGTCCGTGCCGCCACGGTGCATTTTCCATGACAGCCATCATCTTCTTGGCGTTGGCAGACAAGGAGTGCACCCACCTCGAAATGTTGAAGCCAACAATGCGACCACCCCAGGCGGCGAGCAAAGGCGGCGAAATCTCCAATGGTTGAGCAATGCCGTGGCCGTACACAACAATCTGGGCATCCTTGTCACCAGATTGCAGGCAATGGATCAGTTGCTCGCAGGAGTCACGCGTGGCGATGCCATCCAAGGCGAGCTTGGGCAGCATGCGCTGATTGCGATCCCGCCACCGCAAGAGTGCGACGGCGTCGGGGAAGACCTCCTCTGCTCCCATGGTCACCAGCTGCTCCGAGATGCGCTCATACTGGGCCCGCACCGTGGGTGTTGCGGCCGCTCGGTTGTCGACCTCCGCCCAAGCTGCCTTGGAGCCGTACTCGCCTTTCGCAAGATTCTTTGGAGACCCGGGGAGCGGCAGCATGCAGAGCGGCTTCAGCTTCAGGAGCTTGCAGAGTTGCAAGAGAGCCGAGCCGGAGGCGGACAAATGGGCAGCGTTGATCAGGACGGAGTCGCCAGGCTTCAGCTTGCTGCCAAACTGCTCCAGAACCGTGTAGGCACAGACGATGGTCGGGGTCAAACAGATCTGCTCAGGCGTCAGCTGCTCCAAGATCTCCGACGGGATTCGCAGCAAGTCATCCTCGCTGCATGTAAGCAGCGTTCTGCCAGTTCCAATCGGATGTCCGGAGGAGAACTTGGTAGGCTTCGGAAGGACCAGAACTGCATCCTCTGGCTTCAAGTCTTCCACCCGAGTTCCTGCCTGTTCAACTCTGCCGACCCCGGTCATGCCAAGGCAGACACCGGTCTTCTTGAGATCAGCATAAACCATGGAGTCGTCCACCGGCACCGCAAGCATTCGTACCAGCACCTCGTCATGGTCAATGGTCTTCTTCAAGGGCCGAGGTTTCACCTGAACCTGCACGGCGCCACCCATAGCTTGCCCGTAAGCATCGGTCTTGGGCGATCCCAGGACGTGCTGAACTGGCCCAGGGTGGTTGATCTTCGTTGCCAACTCGGAGGCATTGAAGAGGTGTGTCTTCATGAAGTCCTTGTCTGTCAGGACCATGGCCTGCTGATCTCTTTGCCGCAGCCACTCGGCGAAGCCCTCTTCATGCGTCTGGTTTCCTGTGATGATCCGGTCCTTCAAGCTCACAATTGCTTTCTCATCGGCCTCCTTGCTGCGGGGTTCGAAGTGATGCCTTCCACCTGCAAATCCCTCCACGAACTCCTCTTCCGCGGACTTCTCGGCGCGGCCGGTGGTATCGTAGCGACGGCGCTTCTCCTGGTCTGTCAAGACATTGTAGGCCTTGTTGAGGAGCTGAAACTTCTTTGGGTCTCCACCCTTGTCCGGGTGCTCGGCGAGGACCTTTGCACGAAACTTGGACCTGATCTCATGGAGAGTGGCATCCCGGCCCACGCCAATGAGCTGATAGTAGTCGGCCTCGGACATTGCTTCAAAAGAAGTAGACAGGGGCAGAGACACTCGCGTTCTTGAGCCGAACCCACAACTTTCAGCAACAGTTCACGTTCCAAGTAAGCTTCAAGGGCAAGTAACGGCGCATTGCTCGTACCCATCTCCACAGCACGCCTCCTAAACCTACATGTGAGAGAGCTTGGAGCAGCGAGACGTGCGCACCCCTGGCATCACCAACTGCCTGCTCCAGAGTTCGGACCTTCGCTGTGGGCAGCTCCAAAGGCAAGGCCGCTTAGTTCCCTCTTGAGGCCAAGGCTGCGAACCAGAGTCAGAGGCAAAGTGGTGCCCTGAAGACGCGAGGATTGCTTTGGTCAATCTCATTAATGGACCCTCTACACTGGGATGATCAGCCCGAGAAGCAAGACACTCAGCTGAGGAAGCGTCGGTATCAGGACCTTGCCACAGTTCATTCACAAGATCCTCGGGATCATCGTTGCGAACCTGACAGATCAGACAACCCGAACCGCAACCATCCATCGAGTCCGAAGCAGCCTTGTATTTCACGAGATCGACTTCGAGCAGGCATGGTGACATGAAACTCCCACTGAGAGCTGCTGCTGCGCCGAACGCGTGTAGCTTACTGGGGTGTCGGCTGTGAGTTCTGGGTGTCAAGAAGCATCTGCGTAGCTGGCTTGAAGACGAACTAGTCTTCTCGAACACTGGCCCCCTTGGGGTTTGAGCAAACGTTTGGCAAAACTTCGACTGCCAGAGCGCACGACGACTGCCATAACAAAACAGCAACAGCACACAGGTAGAGAACCAGCAGAGCATTCTTTTTCGGAAGACGTGCGTCTGGACCATTTCCCTTAGCTCTTTCCGTTCAGCGTGACACGTAAGCTCCTGACCCTGGAACGTTTCCACATGATGAAGACACGTCTACGCAGCAGAGTCGCTGGTGCGTCAGACGGCCTTTTGCAAGGCCAGCTCCTGCAAAGCAAAGTTCTGACAACCGGGCGCAAAACAGGATGCCACAACGAGTTCCAGCTGCTTCACACCGACCATCAATCACAACCTACACTTGTGCCCCAAAGGGGGGGAGGAAAGCTCGCTGCTGGAGGGCCAAGGCACAGGCTGCGGAGCAGTCAGGACACGCTCCGTCTTTTTTTTGATCTCATTATAGGCACGCGATTGATATACGGAACATTCCACTATGATTGAAATCACCTGAACGACCCACGTCCAATTGATGTTCACGTAGAACCCTTTTCCACATCAGCCTTCATAGTTCTCACTTGAATATTTGCCACTACCAGCAACAGCTGCCCCTGAGCAAACACATGCAGAACATTCCTCTCTCTAGACCAATGATCCCATCTCCAATTGCAGTTCACATGGAACCCTTCTCCGCTTCCACGCAACAGACCATGGCACCGGCCGTCCGAAGATGGGGGCAGCCGTCTATCACAGCCACTTCCCCCCCCCCACCAGGACAAGCATCATGAGCATCATTAGAGTCCCTCCTCACCAGGACGAGCATCATGAGCATCATTGGGGTCCTGTTTCTCCGAAAACCCTTCCATTAACTTCCCCGAAATGGCCACGAAAAAGCCTCGCGGGGCAGCCAAGGCATGGGGATTCCCTCGAAAAACAAGGGGTTGGGCACCGGCCTGGGCCATTCCCCCCCCAGACCCCTGTAGCTCTGTTAAACTCAAGCTTCCCAGAGGGGAGCTTTCGTGACAACAATGTCTGTACAGATAAACATTTAGCTCTCGGGTTAGGTGCAACAACAAGCCGATGCGTGCTGTACTTCCGGTATATGACGTGTCCTGTATGTGATGGCAAGTACGTGAAGGTTCGAGTATATCCAATATGCTTATATTGGATTCTACGTGCAATTGCCCCGAAGATCTCTGCCGCGATGCTCCGTCCGTCGATGGTTTATATCCAGCATTTTGCCAGATTGCCAGCATCACAGGCAGATGCTGCGTTGGAAACCACAGTGCAGACGACTTCCCAGGCCTTCTCCATTTGCTTCAGCAGGGTCTCAACGTGGCACACTTCCTGCAAAGGGCACGCCGACGAATTTGCTTCATCTCAGGCAGACCAGGGCCTGTTCGGAACTGTTTGGCAATGCCTGGCCAGGCAGACGCATCAGCTCAAGTCTTCAGTCTGTTCCATGCGTCTGGGGCATCTGCATCGTTTCAGCTGATTGCAACTGACTCGGGCAAGTCCCTGTGAATCGCTGCCTTCTGTTCCTCACCTTTCTTTTGCTGCAGGTCCGCAATGAGCTCCAGGAACGCAGCTTCTTTTTCTTGCAAATCCAAGCGCATGTCCTGGACGTCTAGCAGCAAATTGGTAATGACAATGGCCAGGCTTCTTCAAGGGTAATCATGCTCCCGAAGACCATTTCAAGGATAATCACGCTTACGACGGTTTTTGCCATGTTTAGCATGACAGTTCTTTCGACTGGATGCGACGTATAGCAGCTTGTCGCTCTTCGGCATTCTCACGGTCTTCATCACTGAGCAGCTGTGGTATGGCGGACAAACGCGCAGGCGTCTGTCACCTAGTAGGGTGCGACACAATTACGTCGCATCGCCTGAGCCCAAAAGTTGAACCCTATAGCCTATATCGTAAGACACGAGGGGCCGAACAGTCCCGCAAGTCATTTCATCCAGCTGTCCAGACCTGTGCCTTTCTCTGCCACTCCCGGGCCCTCCCGTCCTGCAGGCGCGTCTTCTCCTCGGGGCTGCAGTTGTCTTTGTGATCCAGGCGAGCTTTGATCTGCCTAGCACACTACGAAGGCGAAGACGAAGGCTCCCAGCAGACGAGACTCAGAGACTCTTCTCTCGTTGGCCTTTGGTTCTTCTGCGATGCGTTCTTCAGCCCTTGGAGAGTCTCCAGCGCTCTGGTGAGCTGCTGCTCGTTCATGCCCTCGATCTCCTCTTAGGCAGTCGAGAAAACCAGCGAATCAGCTCTGGATCGGCGGTCCTTCTTGACAGCTTCCATTACCTGCACAAGTGCGTAAGACATAAACAAGGTCCAAGGTCCTTCCACCTGCCTTCCGTTCGACGCAAAGATATGCATTATCATGTGCTACTCTGGTGACACCGAAACAGAAAGCACAGAAGAACCAACACAGATGAACCTCGTTCACATCGAAGCGCGCTTCCGGCAAAGGCCTCGACAAACAACACAGCCGAGATCAAAATACTTGAAGTTCTGCCCGTTTGCCGACACCGTCAAACTGATCGATCTCAGAGGTCGGCTGACGAGAAGGTGGCATCCAGTCCATGAGGCACTCAACTGCCTGAAGTTTTGAAGGCTCAGAACCACGGTCAAGCTCTTTGCTTCTATGGGCATCTGCTCCCCCTATTATGCGACAGAATCTCATGCAGTGTACCAAGTTGCCACACTCACCCGCACACTTGTCGGTTTCTGTGCACAGGCTCCTCACTTTCACAGAAACCGGCCTTCACGTCCTTTTCGTCACAAGCAGCCATGTAATGCACCGAAGAGGCAGCCATCGCCTGCACCGTTAGCAAATGCCGACCACAAGCAATACGAAGGATGTGGCTTGACCTCGCCTGCGCAAAGGCAGATGCAGGACCAGGTGCCGCAGGTTTGCCACGCTTCGATATAGTTGTGATCGCACAAGTCCTTGCATCGCAACAGCAAGTTTTTCTTGAATACTGTACCTAAACCGAGCACGAACTAGTCCTATCGCTCACGGCTATCTCTGTCGCCATCAGCATACCCTGCCCGGTCGCTGATGGTCACAAGCAAGACTCCAATTGCACACAAGTTCAACAAGAGAGAAAGTGGGCCAAGCATACCTGGCCGAAGCCGAAGACTGATCGCTCAAGCAAGGCTAGTATACGGAAGGCCTGCTTACATCGCCTGATTCCACAGATGCGACACGTGAAGGCGACCTCCGCCCATCAGGCTACCATCGCTTCTCATGGGCCTTGCCGCTGTGTCCGCCGAAGACGAAGAGGTGTGGCTTGGTGGATGCAGGCATCTGGCCTTCAGAGCCAGGAGAAGGGGAGATATCCCGGAGCTTGCGGTTCAGTCACACCTGTGAGGCCGCATTTGCTCGTCTCGGTGGAGATCATGCCTGCGAGTCCAGGTGCATTCGATGAACCCGTACTGAGCCTGAAACCACCAAAGCCCAGATAAACGGACCTTCGACGTCTCCAGAAGATGGCTCAGAGGAGACACGGCTCAAGGAAAGCTTTCCAAATGAACCTAGAAAGAGAACGACGTGTAATCGGCTCTCTGAGGCTTTTATCAACAGGCATTTGAATCTTGTCTGTCGTGGTCTTTGTATCGATAGCCTCCGGCTCAATCCTGCAAGGCTGAGCCTAGATCCGACCGCTGGCGCTTGGGAGGCACTGACATGTGCGATGCCTTCGGATCACTTTCCGTCCCCTTTGCACCTTTTCTTTTGTGGAATCTCGTGCTGTGGCTGAGAGCAGGCCGTGCAGGTGGTAATCGCCCAACGCGGATCCACCTCTGGGACAAAGGCTTTGAAGGCCTGCTTCCATCCAAGCCAAGCACTTGGGAGGAAGGAAGCTGGCCAAGCTTGGCCAGAAAATGCTGCGACTACTTGTCGATTCCTATAGAATCGGCGGGTGCATCATGCAACCAGGACTTGCTGTACACAGCCTAGTCTCGACCTGGGCCGCGGTGCCTTCTTGCGAAGGATCACTGGGTGGCTCCTGGTCACTCAGGATAACAACTGCCGCTATATGTGTAAGCTGTAAGCTCTCTCAGAGTTCAGAGTGACGACACGACACTTTCCAAGTCGCACCTTCAGCTGGCGCGTTTAGCGTGAAGCTGCCATGACGGCGCTGCCACGTTCGGTAGTACCTCGGGAATTCTCCCCAAACCAGTAAGAATCGGTTGGAGCGAAGACTTTCAGCCAAGGCACTGCAGACAGAGCTCCCAGTTTATCCTGCGAGCGAGTTGGACGTGCCCGGAGGCGCTGTGGCGCTAAGAGCGATTGGGGCGTAGCTGCTTCGCATGATTCGTCAATGCGGCCAGGGATCTTGAGGCAGAGACCCAGCAACAACAGCATCCATGTCACCGAACTGCCTCAGCACACAGAGCCACATTTGAACGGATTGTGCCCAGCACTATTAATTTAGGTGGAAGCTTCAACCCGTAAGTCGGGCTAAGTGCTTAAGATACACTCGACTTGAATTACCACCTCCAGTATACGGTATATCACAAGCTCCCCCAAATGCCTTCTCAACCAACATGCTGCCACAACGTCGTAACATCCATCGACACATGCAGCTTTGTTGCAACAACTAGCGACTAGTGCGTGACAGCTCATCTGTTATTACTAGACACCCCGGCCCTGGATTCAGGCACACTCTGCATGTGGTGGTCCGGTTCTAGCCCATTCAAATTGAAGGTAAAGTGTGGCGAGCCTGCAACGATCCAGGTGGATTGCAGAGCGTCTCCGACTCCTGCAACTTCAACGACCAAGCAAGAGGAGCCTCTAGCACCACCTGTCTCTGCAGCCTGCAGGAAAGACGCAGATGTTGCTCAGATAGCCTCGCATGCAAACAAGAACAACGAGAAAGCTACGGTACAGGATAGGGCGGTTCTTGCTGGCAATATCTGCCAGGTAGCAAGCCAGCAGAGTTGCCTGGTCAAGCTGTCGCAACACGACACGCCGAGCAGAAGGCTCCCACGGGCCTGCACCACAAATCCCCAAGCCACACCACGCTTCCAGCGAAAACGCTTAATGGCGAAGAGCTCCACGAGGCCCAGCGTCAGCCCAAGGCTATGGGTCCTCACCGACGAATGCCCCCCGGCACGAGCAAATGCCATCTTTCCTGCGCCCTACTTGGCCCATCTTGACCCTGTCCCCCACAAAATCAGCAGAGGTAGGTTGGACTGAAGAGTCAAGGCCATGGGAACCACCTGAGAAAACAGACAGCAACGGCACATGAAAAAGTAGCGATCTCCGACGAACATGCACACGGCTCGGGGTGCTACTGCGATTGCCACGAGCAGGTGCGGCCCCGGACCGAGAGGATGGAACACCATGTGCGGGTATTTCCTGCACGCGACAGAACCCAAGCCAAGCCCAGAGAACTCGCCCTTCGTGTCCTGATCAGCATAACGACTGCCCCAACAAGTACGACAGGTGACCTGAGCTGCACAAGTGAGCCCAAGTTGGCGCTAGAACGATGGTGTCAAAGATGAGCCAGGCTGCACCAAAATACATAGCAGAATACGCCCGCAACGGCCCACGCAGTCGGCAGAAGGCTGCCTCTCTTCTAGGCCCCCCTTTCTTCGTACTGGTCTAGCTCTCTCCACAACTCGGCGCGCAAGGAACTGCAAGCGTTTGCTTCCTGAAGAAACTATGGCTGAGCCAGCTCGATGTGAGCTGAAACACTGCAGTTGAGCAAGAAGCCTGCAGAACAACTTCGCCATGAGTATCAGCGTAGCACCAGCGAATGGAGCAAAGTATATCCAAGACATGAACCCGGAGATGCACCAGAAGGCCATCACCTCGACAACAAAACGCGACGGAGCTTTCATAGAACACTGTCACGGAAAATGCTTCCCAAGCGAAGGCGAGTGGCTGTGATGGTGGCAGCAGCCTCAGCGATGTGCAAGGCGAGCAGCTTCGGCTCGGAGATGAAGAATCGCAGCAGGAACCGATTCTCCGGCGGCAGGCGATACGGAGGCAGCGAAACCAAGAGCACCATCAACCGGTAGAGAGCCAGAACAGCGAATGCAGAGATGCCCAGGATGCGCAGGGGCAGTGACAAATGCAAGCTGCTGCTGTTCAAAGCACTCACCTCACGGGATCTCTGACAGGCTGCAAGTGTGACGTCCTAGCAGTCCTAGCAACATGCGACAAGGCTCAGTGAGGCTACAGAGACGACACGAATGTCCTACCGTGCGAGCCTGGTACGTCATGAGCAGAAGCACCAGCAAGAGCGTTCTGCAGCACTGCGTTCCGAAATCGCGGCATTTGTGTCTGACCTTATGGCATGCGCCGAATCTGCTGAAAACATTCAAACAAAAGTTTTGAATCCAGAGGTGTGCAAACCCCTGGCCGGGTCTCTTCTAAGCAGCTGTTGGTGCTGTCAAGGCTGTGGGCCTCTTGAACAGAGCCAACTAAGTGGCAGACAAAGTCCCGCACGCCTGGTATCCTTTCGGAGCCATGATATGGCTGGTGACAGACAGAGCACATTGGAGGTGCATCGTTGGTGGCAGTCCGACGGTGGTGTCGGATCCACTCTTCGACGCAGCTGGCATGAACACCACTCATAGAACCACGGCAAAGGCATGGCTGAATCAAAGGCTCATCTGTCGTGTCACGACAAATCCAACATTCCGTAGGCTCATCGTCTACTGCAGCTTCCAAATCTCGAGAACTCACCTGGCGAGCCTGAGAGCTCTGCTGGCTCTCCGAAGACCCCAGCTCAGCCTGGGCCTCCCCGGCGACCTCGTTTTGCCCCTCGAGCACCGACACCGAGATCGAGACTGCGGGTTTCTCTCGAAACTCTGGGAACAGGGCGGCAAAGGTGGAGGAGGCGGCGTTCAATTGCCAGGACTCGGCGGCAAGCTTGCGGCGTTGTTCTTCCGGCGCCTGTACCGCGCCGTAGCCCTTCTCGCTAGAGATGAAGAAAGACAAAAGACCCACGAGGATGGTTTCCACCGACCAAGCCGGATTCCAACTCTCTGGGTGGAAGTCCGTCATGCTTAGACATAGCTTCTTCCCCGTCTCGAGTCTCCCACTCGGAGTGATCATGATGATCGCCGGTGGAGCATGCGGGTAGGTGCTTGGAAAGAGAATCTTGCCGTGGTAGCAGCCCTGGCTGTATGGAGTATCAGCCGGAAGGGAATGAAGAACAAAGTGCCATTCCAGCAGACTCTCCTCCCAGCGACTTGCACAACTGCAAGCCCGTTTATGAATATTTGTCAAAAGGCCTCCGAGGGACGCACCAGGAGCTGAGGGTTGCCGGAGGCTTGCAAGGCTTCCAAGTCTTTCCGCAGCCGCCTCTCTTTTTAGAGAGCAGAGCAGGGGGTTCACTCTAAAGCCCGTTTGGTGCCTCACTGCAGCACTGGAAGCCGGCGCTGAACTTGCAGGCTGCTCTGGAGGTTGCATTAGTGCTTACAGAAGGAACAGAAATCACTGGACTCAAGAGACTCCATGTGCAGCTCTGCGCTCCTGGCGTATGGCTCTCTAGTGCGGCTGAAGTCTTGCTTAATCTTGCCAAGCTGATTTCAAGTGAAGCTGGAGCACGACGCAGGCAGGGACATCTTTGACACGGCATGCTACAGCACGTCTTGCAACCTCAATTTTTCTGGCACTGCTCTGTCATGCGACGCAGCATCAGAGAAATCTGCCCAGAGCCTTCGTCAGAGTCAAAACAACAGACAACTTGTTTATCTGACCACAGCAATGCGAGGCTGATCTGCCTTTTGCGAAGGTCTTCGCTGAGCGAGGACCGCCTAGCACAGCCATAGCATGGCTGTCAACACCTCAACCCGTCGAGACGACCACCGAGCCGGCGACGCACTGCGAAGCCCACAGCGCACATGGAAGCGTCGAGGCGGGCGCCACCTCGAAAGAACCGCAAAGCTCGAAGCGGCTTTCCGTGACTCGGCATGGCTGAGGACCTGACGACGGGCGGCATCGGTGGCAGGGCTCCCCAGGGACCGGGACCGGCACCGGAGACCGGCACGGAAGGCAAGGCGCCCATGCCCAGGCCTTGAACAAGGCAACCGATGCCAGAATACCGGTCATAACAGGTCTCCACTGCTGCGATCAAAACAACCGCTGCTCGCAGGACCTGCTATGACCTGCTGCTGCAACCTCTGCGCCCCGCTACAGCGGTACTAAGACGTCTTCCACTTGGAACTCGACCACGACGACCGCGACTTCTGCTACTACGTCATTTATGCCTGCATCACAGCATCTCACCAAAACCAGACATTGCGAAACAACTCACTGGCAGCAGCTCTCACCGTCAAAGCCTGCTTCTGTACACCGGTATGAATTTGTCGTTCGTGTTTGTCTGTATGTCGTCATCTTCAAGTTTCGTGCGCTTGCACCTGGACCTTGCATTGTAGAACACTCGCAACATGGGCGGACCGGTTGAGCGCCTGGGCCAACCGGCGGCAGCGCGCTGCTGCTCGTGAAAGGGGGTGCCTGGGCTGTGTGTCACGGAAGGCATCTGCAAAAGTATCGTCCGTCTGGGAACCCGGGCAGGAGCACTCGGTGGTCCCTTGAAAGTGGGTATGGAGGCAGGCTGCGGTTGCGCTCTGTTGGGCCCCAAGTCCCGCCTTCGACAGGGTATCTGCAGCCAGCTTCAGCCTGAGATTCAGGGACGGCGGGCGCGACGCGATGTAATTCGCGCGAGAAGCGCATGGCCCTCGCTCCTTCCCTCCCTGCCTTGTGGTCACAACATCACCGAGGGCCTCTCTTCTACAAGGTCAACCTTCTCGCGCTTCTCGCGCTTGCGCGTAGTCTCCTGGCCTTCCACATGGCAGCTTCGGCTTCGGGTCCTGCGGGTCCTGGCAAGAAGGGCTCCGAGTTCGAAGCTGCGAATGAAGCCACGCTTGGAACGAACCCGTCGGGTGGTGTTTTCTCTCATTAGACGTGCGCCATCTCTCCCGCTGACGTGCAAACATGATCTGCATATCTTGCATTGAATTCGTATCCCAACAGCACCTTGCAGTTAACGCTCTCTGCCGACCCGAGCAGCAACGAGGCAGCAATTCTGTCTGGGCCGAATGTCTGGTTCTGGGGAGGACAGCAGAACTTCTTCGAACTTGGTGCATCGCTGTGCAGCTAAACCGATCAAGAGCGGCCTGAACTTCCTGCATTCGCAGCGTCTGCAGGCGGCACAGCTTCCTCGATCGCACCGGTGCCTGAAAAAGTGATGCAAGCAGGATACTAGCTTACTAGCATGGCCCAACTTTGGACCCGAGTGAGGCCCCGGCGTCCCACAGGTATGACTACCGGGAAGGCAGGTCCTCGGATTCTGTGGCTCTCGAGCTCTCTCTGTGAATCTCAGCCATTTACCAAGCACTCGAGCAAAGCGGGTCCGACATCTCCCGTCAGGCTGGACGGTTCGCCCATGGCAGCTGCACAAACTCAATGTGCTCGTGAGTGTACTGTCAAGTCACTTGTGGGGTCAGGCTACGCGCTCAAGAAGCAGGGATACCATCTTTGCTTGGCTGCCTGGCTAGGCCCACACAAGATCGGGTCCCAAGCTGTTGCCCCAACTGCGGAAGCACTGAATTTGCTACATCAAGTTTCTCCAGTGAAGAAACAAGCCTTTTCGTCACATCGCCACGGAGGTCTCTAGCGGTGAATCCGTCCCATGACGAGACGAGTCTAAGCTTTGCAGTTGCAATCGCAAAGTAGATGCTCAAGCAACTGAGCCACAAGGCTTGCAACAGCAGCGAGAATGCGACTACAGATCCAGGCAATGCCTTTCTGTACAGAGTATTCGCGGAGCGTGGTGGCGGGAGTGCAGACTCCGAAAATCGTTCACTTTGTCATGTCGGTGTCTTCCTGGCAGTCCGTGCCGCAATGCACGAGATTTGAAACACCACTTGCATGTCCTCATGGTCAGAGCAGACAGCGTCAACCACCTGTACAAGATCGAAGTCTTCCTCGGACCTGCCAGTGCAGTTCAGGAAGGTGTTCAACCAGGCATGGGCATAGCTTGCCAAGGGGCTTGGTTTCCGGTTCGGACTCATAGCCAGCCATGCCACGTGCAACCTCCGTCCAGGACTTCACGGTAAATATCAGGACACCTGCGGCTGGCAGTCACTTGCAGATGGAGCACGCAGCACGAGAGAGCAAACAACGCAACGCAGAGCTGAGACGTAGCCGAGCCTACCATCACCTTAGAGCACACACTTCGCCACACTCTTGATCTCCTCAACTTTCTTTGAGCTGCCCGCCAGTAGCATGCTGAGGAGGCGGGAAAGGTCCATTTTCACCACATGCCCCGTCCAGCCAGCCGCATCGATCACCGCACTAAACGCGAGCTTGCCCACTAGCCTCAAGCAGCATGCCGTACAAAAGCTGGAACGACGCTCCCATCAACCTGGAAAGAGATCAAGGAGCATGACGAAGTAGTTGACCTTGGACAAAGGATATCTGCACTTGCAACAACACGAGACTCTGAGAGCACTCAGAGTCCGACCGTGTAGCCAAGGAGGCCTGGCAGTACTGCCAAAGATCCATTGTACAGCGCACTCTGGGCCGAAGCCAAGAGCCACCTGAGGGAAGCCCCGACTCCGTGACAAGGCGTGGAACCAGATGTAGGCTTCACGGATTCTTACTGTGCCGCTAGGAACATTTGCCGAGGATAGAGAAGGCGCTTTACCCAATTCTTGGTCTCTGTCTTCCATATCTACATCCGTCTCGTTATCTTCTCCCTCGGAACATTCCAGGAGCATCCTTCGTCTGTGGACGGTTTCCAGTTGATTCCGCACTTCCAACCCAAAACTCACTTCGCCTTGGCTCTTCCTGCTTTGCTTCCCTCTTTGCTCAGTTTGCTTCCTGCCATCGTATCTTTTTGTGAAGGCACGCGTTTCTTCTCACAGGTTGCTGCTGCAACAAAGCCAACGACTGCTGGACAATTGTTCTCCCTTTTTGCGCTCGCCCTTCTTTTTGACAGCCTAGCCTGTGCAACAGAGGCACGACGCGGCTCAAGCCAAAGCCTGCAATGAAGGCTCTCGACTTCGAGCAGACAGTGAAGAGAGACGACAAACCAAGACGAGTCTCCATCTCGGATCCCTTCTACCGGGAGCACTTCCTTCGTTTTGGGTTGCTGCAACAAGAAGAAAAAGCACCACCACCACAACCGCGATCCTGGTGCCTGGTGTTCACAAGCACAACAACCCATACGATCGCTGCTAATACGGGGAAGAAGGAGAAGACACACAAGAGGAGGACTAACAGAACTGAGAGGAAGAGAATGTCATGAGACCGACGTTGGTAGTCCCAGCAACATGTATTGCAACGAGTGTTTTGAAGAGAAACCGTCCTGAGGTTATCGCGTGCTCCGCTATACTGTCTAAGCGCAGGACCACGGCCAGTCCGAGACAAAGAGCTCAGGGTGGATGCCCTTCCCAAAGTAAATCCACCACATCAGCGGGATTCGGCAGATTACCTCAGTCAGTGGCGAATGGTTGCAGAAGAAAAAAGGTGATATACTTATACGAAAACCGCATGCATGGTGTTCAGTCCGAGAGCCACCACAACTGCGCAAACTACAGTGGCACGGCTTGCAGAACCCAGCTCCAGTGCCAACTGCGAGTTGCACTTCGCCATGAGTGCATAGCCAATCCCACAAAAAAAGGAAATTATTACCCACCTGGGACAGTGTCACGTTCCAGATCAAAATCTCATCAAAAGACCGCGTGTGCAAACTTGCTGTCTCGAGCACATGAAGGATTCGACGGTGAACTCCTTGACTTCTGCGCCAGCTTTTGGGAACAGAATATCTCCACCATAGTTTCTGAGTGTCGGAAGGTTGCACGAAAGTCGGCGCACTCTGACATCGCGTCCAAAGAAGTGAACCAAGCCACAAAACCACGGCAATGAGCACGATTGAGAAGCCGACTATCCGGCGAGGCTCTGACCAGCGAAACTTGCCTCAGCACTTTGACAAAGCATGATTCCGGCTGCACTATTCCCTGCGGCGTGCTACTTTGGAAAACCTCTTGTGCAGCTCAAGCGGCGACTTGCACAATCAAAAACCATGCCGCCGGCAAGCATGCCCGATAACATTGCTAGAAGGACGATCTGCACACCCAAATGTCGGAAAGCCGGCACAGTCACGAACTCGGCGACAATCATGACCTTGCTGCAACAGCCAGGCATGTCATGCCATGCACAACATGACAACATATGAAATTGAACGATACATGCTTCAAGCAACGCCGCCAAGGAGTGAATACCGGGATCTGGGCCTACCCCACGGCTCCTGCTACGAGGCACACAACAACACGAAAATACTCTGGACATAAACATCACGGCACAGCACATCTACGTGGGCACCTTGTTCATCAGTGCGGAAGGAAGAAGCAATAATCCGCCAATGGCAATTGCGATTGTAGCTATGTATATGGCATGATACTCAGATCTGCCTGGCCGAAGAAACTGCGAAGCTTCGAACTTGAACTTGAACTAGCGACACCGGCACAAATGAATTGCAGCGGACGTTTGTGTCGATTGCTGCAGCTCTGCTCCACATGACCAAACACCTGAAGAAGCGGGCTGAATGCCTGGTTGCACATGTCCATTCAGCCGCAAAGAGAACACCCCGCAGGCGGCCACAGAAGCTCCAACTGCCACGGACCACAAGTAAAGCAATATGTGATGCCACGCCGACGCCGCCGCATAGTCTTGGCCAGATGTTATTGCATGTGCTGTCATTCTCGTGAAGACATCTGCTGCAGATCCATTGCGCGAAGATGATTGCAATACTAGCCCAACATTCAAAGCCCTTCATGACCTTCGACCCAGTCCAACACTTGACTGAAGTGACTTCAGCGAATGAACAAACATGTTGACCGAGCAGTTGAATTATCGGCGAGCTGTGTTCAACTCAAACTCAAATGCATGCTTTAAGCCTGGCGTGCGTGAAGCCCGGTATGCGCGGGAAATACAACATCCGAACGTATATCATGTGCGCAAACACGAGCTCAAGCCGTCGAAGCATGAAATCATGTGAGTTCTGGATGGTCATGACGTTTCAACACACACCAACTGATCTCGATTCTGTAAGGGCTCCAACTGTTCAAACGCATGCCTAAGATGAACGCATTGCATGTTGTTTCCATGAAGACGATTGTGCCGGATAGTCGGTGAGATGACTTGAATGTTGATCTGAAGCAACAACCGCAGACGAAATATTCGCCTATTTCGAACTGTGCAACTATACACACTCACCTGTTGACAGGTTCAGAAGCTATCTTACACAACAGCAATGACTTCTGGCTTATTAAACGAATCATCATCAAACGTTTTCTACTAGTTCTTTTTGTTTTTTCCAATGCTTCCTTCTGTCCTTCTTTTGTCTTTTGGCTTTTCTTTCATGTTCTATGGTTGCAGAGCAAACTGTCTGCGAGACATCATTGAAAATGCGACGGGCGAGAGACTACAATTTTGGCGACCACAGAGTTCGCAGCGAACATGTAGGACTGTCAAGAACACTAGTAGGAAGTGTCCAGCTGCGGACCGTCTGGATGATCTAAAGTGAACCTTGCAGTTTCTCGAACAATTCTTTCGAATCTAGATTGAACCTGGAAAGACACGCTCGAACCTGTATTCAACCTGAGCCCCAGTCGAATTCGAAACTGGGATTTAACCTTGTCTTCTTTCGAAAAGAAAAAGAACATAACCTTTTTTTCCGCTGACATTTCACTTTGCTTGTTCTCTGAACTTTAGCGAGTTTATGTTCCTTGTTGTTTTTGTTACCTCTTAAGGTCGTCTGGTTTCCTTCTCTGTTGGTGCAACAGCTGCAGCCTTAAAGACAACAAAGGGGTTGAGGGCGCAGTCCCCGTTTGCAAATTTGGAAGCCCTTCCCCTTCGAGCCGTTTTTCTCGTCTCCTTCGTGCCTTTCCGATGCCTTTCTTTGAAGCCTCCTTCAAGCCTTTGAGGAACTTGTTTAAAGCCCTTCAAAAGATTTAAAGATTATTTCCAACTGTTCCGGAATGCACACATGTATCATGACAAGGCACAGCAGCAACGTAGCAAGGTCTTCCCTCTCTTTTTGATGCCAAGCGGGGGTGTGTCACGAAAGTTCAACATGCACTACTGAGGTGGGTGCACACACCCAGCAACATAATGCCAAAGCAATGTACGGCACTCCGTCATCGCAGACAAACCCCCCAGGGCGGGCGGGCGGGACAAAAATTCACTACCACGGAGCTGCACACAGCCAAAACTGCGACATACAAGTTCGGAGCATTGCACACAATGACAGGTAACAGTTTGGGAAATAAAACGCTGTCTCGCAAGCGAGAAGGCCTATTTATTTCCAACTGTTCCGGAATGCACACATGTAACATGACAAAGCACAGCAGCAAAGTAGCAAGGTCTTCCCTCTCTTTTTGATGCCAAGTGGGGGTGTGTCACGAAAGTTCAACATGCACTACTGAGCTGGGTGCACACACCCAGCAACATAAT